ACACACACACACACACACACACACACACACACACACACACACACACAGTAGGCCCTTACCCATATATCAGCCTTAGTGGTGATGGGTTTCCCCGCGTACAAGTTAATCATCTCCGGTGCTCGATATGAAAGAGTCGTGTACCTGAGAGACACAAACAGGAAGCAGTCAGTGGCAGGTCAAAGGTCAAATGAGCACCAAAGGTGGGAAGGAATCAGTACATTTATTATTATTATTGTTATTATTAAGATAAATAAATGGGATGTTGTGTTTTTTAAAATGTTGCAACATGTTGGAGTCAATGTCAACGTCTGACTTCTTCCATTCACATAAATATTGTGAACGACACCGTGGTCATAATTATCTGTAAAAGGTTAATCGTGTAATAGTGTATTTTAAGATTTCAGTATTGCTACTTTTACTTAAAGAGTATTTATTTGAGCTCACTTTATTTTGATGACACGTGTGATCTTCTGTTCAGTGACACACGGGAGAAAACAAACCAACGGAAAGGTTGCTTGGTTCCTTCAGAGAGAGAGCCAAACATTTTGTTTCCTAGTCGGAGTCATTCTGACGATAACCAAAGCAGCTGGTTGTTTTTGGCATAAACCCAGCTGGGTTATGAAACTACAGAGCCTGTCTGAGTCAGCCGAGTTCAGAGGACCGATGGTTTCTGTTTGACCGGCTTCATGAACGAGGAAGAGTTTACACACGCGGCCGTATACTGCCGATAAGCACCACACGTGGCACTTTATTGCAGCTGTAAATGCGTGAAAGTTAACAGGCCAGCGCTGCTGTGACTTGAAACACAAACAGACAACAGATACTACAACTGCACGGCTTACTACAAACCCAAAGAGGGGGGGGGGGGGGAGAACCACCGACCACACAGGGTCGCCACATTTACCGCTTCCCAAAGCACCGTCATCGAGTGTAAGCTAGCACAGCTCTGTGTTTGGATGGACCTTAAATGAACTGAGGAGACCTGGCAACTCAATGCTTTAACAGCAATGGTTTTACACGCCGCTTTAACAAGTATAATATTGTTGCAGCATCAGGTATATATTAGGGTTTTTTATCAACCACTGTATTGAGCGACATGCAGAACTGGTCTTCCACGGATGAAGAACACTCACTTCTTGATCTCGTCCTCCACGGCGGTCACTCCGTCTTGGTGTGGCAGCAGAATCTTGTGAGTGGAGCTGCCGAAGTCACACAGCACGTAGTTTCCCTGGTCGTTCAGCAGGATGTTTTCCACCTGGTGAGAGGAACAGGCAGAGGTTTTATACTTCTTAGTGAACAAAGAAAGAAAGAACATGAGGAAAGTCACCAATGGAAAGTCAACGTAGTGTCACAGATGACCCAATAATAGAACTTTTTATCTGCATTTGCAGTGCAACGTGAAGCACATAAAAGGAAAGTAAAATAACTCGGCAGAAGACGCAAACCCTTTAGAGTAAGATGTAAGAAAGGAAAGGAAAGCTTCTGCCATTGTGAAAGGGTTACAACTGCAGTTTTTGCTTTCATATTACTGTGTTGGAGGCTCATATTTAACATCATAAACCTGCTCAGAGTCATTGTTTGTGCTCTTTCCTCTCTCACTGTATTCCTAAAGTTGTTGTACTTAATAAAGTTATTACGAGGAACTTTCATTCTGCGGTGATGTTGGCGGTCCCTGTGGACTAAAGTGGAAGCGTTTCCATACACCAGAGTCCCTTTAAACTGAGACTGTTTGATAACCAGTTAAAAGTTCTTCAGTGTAACTTTAATTAAACATAAGTGTCAAATTGCAATGTAAATGTTCAGAAATACACAAAGAAACCGGTATCGATTAAAACTAAAGATGAGATTTCAGTTGCTGCTGCTGTTTCTGTTCTTCGTGTGTAGAACTGATCACAAAGAGCAAGCAGCTCCTTCCATATGGACGATCTGCTTCCTGTATAATGTGGGTGTGATGGAGACGCATCATCATCAAACACAACCAAGCCAAAGCTAGTCCACAGTTACATCACAATGGGCATGGAAGACAATTAGTGGATAAAATCACGTTTAAAACTCAAACCCACTAAACTGTATTAATGGAGGAAGGAGACACGCCTTCGTTACGATAACTCGGCCACAGGAGTCTCATCACAGCTGAAACAAGTCAGTCTTAAAAACAGACGTGCGACTCATTTGCATGTTACTAAATGTGTTTGTATTTGAAGTGTCAGGCTTCGGTTTTTAGATAATACTTTTAGGGCCACAGCAGAGAATCTAATCCTGAGTTACAGCATGACAGCAGCAGTGTCATCATGCTGGTATTTGTCATGGTATCTGTGGGACGTTTGCATGGATGTTGGAAAGTTGACGCTTTTAAAAGTAAAATTTCTCTAAATTGCTCGTATTCTCTCATTAATTCATCTTGTTGCCGTAGGAACATTTCCAACTCAACAATCCATGTTGTGACAACCTCGAGGCATTAGTTTGACCAGACGGTGATGCTCAGTGGATTCACAAAGTGAAGGTGTGAGGAAGCATCGAGTGCATGCTAGAAGAGAAATGAAGGCAGGTGGAGGAAAAAAGATGGGAAAACGAGTAGCAAAGAAAAGAGGAAGCGACAGATCGAAAACAAAAAGAGGAAACGGACTGACAGAGCAACAAGATGATGAGATGTAAAAATGTCAGAATCAAACATGTGAAAACAGAAAGACATCTGCAGGAGAGACCAGAGAAAGACTTCAAACTGTCCAAGGAAACGCTGAGCTCATGAAAGCAACACAGCGTCTCAATGCTGTTGACAGCTCGGGGTTAAGGGCCTTTTTTAAAATATATTTATGTATTATTTTTCTGCACTCTCACTTCCCCTGGCGATGCGTGACTGGGCCTCCTCGGTCCTTTGTGTCCCCGTGGTGTTATGTAAGCCGTGTAGGCTGAGCAGATAGACACAGACAGCGAACAGAGGACTGGTGCTGTGAGGCTGAAGGGACCGCTCTGTTTAGAGGCTCGTCCAACTGGACGGAGGACAGCGGCCCGCTGAAGGAGGCACCGAGGAGGACTCGACCAGGGTGGGATATTATATTATATAATATTATATGTCTAGGGCTTTTATTGTGAAAGGTAAGAACGGACGGAGTGGATCTGGTAAAGGAGTGATAAAGTTTGACGTCTTGGTTTGACCTACGGAGCCTCAACAAGTACAAACCACAATCAACAAGAACAACCTGTTAGCATTGCATCACATGGTTAGTGCGCGTTTGTTTTGGGCCGGAGGAACTCAAAGGAAGTCAGCAGGTTTGGGTTTAATATCTTCCTCGAGGAACTTTAAGGAAGTCGTGATTGCTGGTGATTTGTTTGTCAGATGATTTTGAGTTTTTAAAAAGTCTGACCTGCCGATTAATTCAGATTTTCTTTTTAAGAACTATGATAGATATACACTATAATAGAACAAGAATAGATATACACTATAATAGAACTATAATAGATATACACAAACGTTTACTGAAACTTTTCTTTAATGGAAAATTCAATTGTATGTTCATACGAGAAGAATCAGAAAATATACTATACTGCGTATGTAGAGTAGGGCTGGGCAATATATATATAATATATTAATATCATGGTTTTAATGTCTGCATTAAAGTTTAGTGATTTTCTGAACTTACCAGACTCTTCTATTATTCACCTTTACCTCCTTAACCATTACATCCACATTACTGATTATTTATCAGAAGTCTCATGTTCAACCTGACAATATCGACACGGAGGCATTTGGTAAAAACATATTGTGATATTTGATTTTCTCCGTATGACCCAGCCCTGATGTGGGTCTATCTTAAAGAGTAAACTGTTTATTATCTATATATTTATTTATCTATGCATCTATTTAAAAAATAATGTATACAAAGTCAACATGCTGTTGGCAGAAGAGCTGGTGACTGTGATGACTCTGAGCAGCATGGGAATAAATTACAATATAACAGACTATATTTAAATACATTTCCCGCTTTTTCCCCGATGGTCTGATTAAGTCACTAAATTTGTATTTTTTTTTAAGAAATAAAGTTACTAAAAAAGAAAAAAGAAAAATGCGCCTCCGACTCTAGCTTCTAAAAGGATCTGGTTATTTTCTGTGTTTAATATATCTGTATATTGATTATCTTTTGGTTTTGTATCCGTTTCTAACGTTTTAAAGAATCAAAAAACAACCATCGGTTGCATCTAACCAGCAGGTGAAGGTGTTCAGAGGAAAGGTCACCTTGAGGTCTCGGTGGATGACGGGCGTCTTGCACTGATGCAGGCGAGCGACGGCCTCGCAGCTGTCACAGAAGATGTGGAGGACCTCGGCCTCGCTGAAGCCCACATTCAACCGCTGGTTCATCTGCTTCACCACCTGACCCGCTGCAGGAGAGAGAGAGGACGACGGATGAAGCTTCAGGACTCGGGTCATCAGTCCAGGATCGGAAAAACCAAAGTAGCAGCCGCATGTTCTAGTGTTTTGACTCTTGCAAACTTTCCAACTGGGATAGTTTGCAGGATGCTGACATTCACAAGCCCAAGCAGAACAAGCTAACCTGATGAACACTCAATATTTACAAAACAGTAACAATATAGTTAATATATGTTAGATATATACACCATCACTACTACGGTGTGCAACAAGGACCAAAATCACACAAAACTCAGATTTGTAGGAAAAAGTCCCTTTAGTTTTGCTTTAATTTAAAGTTTCATTTAGTTTATTTGCCCCAGAATAATCCCAACTAACCCAAATAAAAATCACAAGTCAGATATTATAAAGAGAAACTTCAATGAGTCTGACGTCTAAATGGGTCATATATGAAGGTTTCACAACACGTGTGTGTTGACAAACCTTTACAGTACTCCATGAGGATCAGGACCTCCCACACGCTGTCCGACACCGCGTTGATCGTGGAGTCCAGGTAGCCGACGATGTTCTTGTGACCCGACAGCTCCTTCTACAAACGGGATGAAAACATGGAACCCATCAGGACAGAAAGACCCAGAAGAAGAAGAAGAAGAAGAAGAAGTGCATCTCAAGAACTGAAATTGCACAAGTCTAAAAAGCCACTACCAATAATAAGGTAGTTATTGAAGTGATACAAAGGATATACGTATGTGGATTGTGCACACACACTTTTAAGAGGTGCTGATGAGTATTCATGTCTGGACTTGTGTAGTGTTGCACCTATATTTGCTACTCGATGTGCAACTGAGCCCAGTTCCACCGATAGAGGTAGTACTACAAATACTGTAAAATATACTATAAAACAGACAGACAAGCCAATCCTACTGGATAAATTACAGACTAACCGAATCACTGCTAAAGTTGCAGACATTTGAATCTGATTTGTTTAAGGTAAAGAAAAAGAACACGGACGAAATGTAGAATACCTGCCTCATAAACAAGCTATGACTTCTGTTTACCTCCTGGTTTTGCCATTTATGAGCAGTGTAAATATAGTGAAACCACTTCCACATTTGCAGAACGCATCCCAAAAAGTTCAAACATCCAGCTGTAGTGAGTTCGGCCTGGTGTGGTGAGGGTGCCGTTTGTGTTCCTTCATGTTACTCCGTGCTGAGCTCTTAACTCCGCTAATCTTTCTCAACTTGATTCATTGGCCAGATTAAAGCATCGTAGTGTTTGTTGATCGTTTTAACGCCAGCAGGAAGAGACCCGACACACCTAGAGCGACGTCCCAACAGGCCAGACCTGTGTCGGTGTGTGAGGTCAGCCGAGTGGGTGAGCGTCACACAGCTGATGAGAAGAAGTGAACTGACACACAAAGCTGAGCTGTTCACCGACACACCGGGGTCAAACGTTCAGGGCCGAGACATCTGCTGTTGTCCAAGACGCACAGAATAAATGATGATTTCTAACTTTGAACGACACAAAACACCGTATTATTCGCTGAAATCATGCGAGTGCCAGCTCTGTGTAATAAATCATAAGTTTTAGCCCATGGGAACGGTGCTTATTAACACAATCTCACACAGCAAAAAAGGCTTTTTCTGTTGCCAGACTGGAAATGCTGGCAGACAGGACGGGTTATGAAGGTGGAATGAAGCCATTTATATGCACCTTCCTTCAGGAGGGCAACGTCTTTATGAGGGCTCGTGTCCCATTTCAAACACGAATTATGCCCTTAAATTTAATAACTGAAAACTGAGAATGCCCTCATGAAACTTCCCCAATAATGAGCACATTAAAAGCACAAAAAGGGAGAGAAATTATATTTTCAAGGCAGGGAAGGACTGGAAGGAAATGCAGCTAAAACCAAGGCTTAGGATTTGACATTGCAACAGAACGGAGGACTTAAATTGATGTGGAGATCATCAAAACAACTACAAGTTAACACTGTGATGCTGCTCTCACCATGATAGTGATCTCTCTCTTGTAGACACTCAGGTCCGGGACGTTGTTGACGTACATCCTCTTGAGAGCGCAGCGGACACCGCTGTGTGTACGAGCCAGAAACACCACCGAGAAGCCTCCTGGAAAAACAATGTCACAAGTTAGCATTACATCAGCATACGTAATGTACTTTATAGGGTGTTAGTTTTCAGGGTATTATGTGGAAAACTGCTCATTGACCATTAAGGATAAATTAAGCAATGCCAAGTCAAGATTTGATTTTCCACATATGTAAAATAGACTATTGCAAGACAAATCACAAACCACCTTTACACAGACATAGTAAATAAATCTTCCATTACAAACTCCTTTTTCCCCAAACATCTCATTTCTCACACCGATTCCTGTTGTGCTACCCGGGCGATTTGGACGAGGCGATATATTGTCAATCAGCGATTGGCCGAGTACATCGGTTGTTTTCAGTTTATTTATTTAGGGAAAAAACAGCATGTTTTCACATCCAACTCTGTGAATTAAGGGTTAATTTCAAACAAACCAAAGTTGGTGATTGTTGAAACAGTGGAAAGACTAACCAAGATGGTTTTAAAGGGTTTTATTCTGAAAATCTTAACATATCTCCCGACCCTTGAGATGTCACCAGAACAGACACTTTGGAAGCAAATCGTACAAAATTCTGACTATACTTGTTCTTCTATGGTACGGATCAGGGCTCCAGACTTATTGTAAAATCTAGTTTTTTGCCAGAAACCTGAATAAATAGTTGTTTGACAGAGATGTTTTCACAGCAATATAACAGATACTAGAGGGGGAATTCTGACCGGTTTAGCTTTTTAACACCAACTCAAGTGTTTATTTTTTACCATCACCTATTAAATTGGGTATCTGGAATCGTGGAAAACTGCTGGTATTGTGACATCTCCACCCAACCCTAGTACATATACACGAGTAAAAAACATAGTAGTGCTTAAAAAAAACACCAAACACACTCTGATCGTCTCTTAAAAGTCAATGTAGAAAATGGTGTAATCCAGGATTTAGAAAAGGTCTCCATGAGCTGATTTCAACAGCTGCTAACTGGTCTCTTTTCATGAGGCTAAGCTCATTTAGCTTGTGTTGGCCAAACTCCAACCGGGTGTAATCCTTGAGTAAATGAAGCTTATTGCTTTAGAAAATATAGCAAGCTTTTCCCAAGAATGAGATGAGCTGAAATTGCACTGTTTCTTGGTGGGATGTGGGGTTTCTGGTGCAGGAGTAGACTGTGTTGACAGGATCAAGGTGTCTAGCTGAGGTGCTGTAGCTGTTGTCACTGTCCTCTGTGCCTCTCTGGGTGAATGGACTCTATAACACTGGGATGGGACAGTACCCGGGCTCATTAGGAGGGGATCACTGAGCCACTGAGTGGTGGGCATCAAAGTTCCCCCAGACTGAAGAGCAGAAAGAAAGGATCCACAATGGCACGCTTGTTGCCTAACAAGTTACCTAAGGTCAGCTAAAACAAACAGCATGGATTTGGATTGGGAATGAGCAGAAGTAGCACAAAGGCCCTCATTGAAGAGCCCATCAGCATAACGTTTAAACGGATCTCAGAGGTTGTGTTGTTGAGAGGACAGCGCAACATAAACGAAAACCTAAGTAGCAATAATTCATGCAGGTTAAACCTGTGTGTCCCCATGAGGACAGTAAACAGAACACGGCGAACACAAAAGACGGCCAAAGCAAAGTCAGGCAAACCAAATGTAAACAAAGTGAAGGGTGGTATTTGCTTGTGTGCAGTGACAACAGCTAGAGTTACTGTAGCAGGCTTCATCAGATTAGAGGAGGGGACTGAGGGATAAACCGGCAGCTAATGAGACAAAAGACAACCTGCAGCTGATTATAAAGCAAAGCAGAGCATTCGACAGTGTCAACGGAAAACTACGGTGACGATGTAATGTGGCCGGAGACTGGTTAAGACTATTCTGCTTCATCTATTTATTCGTTTTGCGTCACGCTAAAAACATCTAAGATCCCGATGCGGCTGATCCAAAGCATTAGCATGTCTGTACTGCCGACTGTCCCATTGTCAGGGATACAGACAAATGATGAAAATAAAATAGACAATGAAAAATACAAACTGCTGATGAGACAAGCAGCTTATATGCTGATGCTGCTGAAATGGGTAACATACACGGAATGACATCGAATACCCACAAAAACAGAAAATACAGGAAGAGAAACTAGTTAGGGAATTTGACTACAGTTACTTGAACTATAACTGATGCAGTGCAGGAACAAAAACACTGAATTAGAATGTAACAAAAATAAAAAGATGATTTCCTACAACGAGGCAGTGGAGTACAGAGCCATCCAGAGGCTTGTTGGAGTGGCAGTGAACTTAAGCCACTAAACTGAATCGTATGTCAAAGTCTTGTGAAAGAGCTACTTTAAATAAACAGCAGGATGCACTCATTTATGAAGACTTTCTTCAAGCTGAAACATGATCATTTGTTAAGCAGAGTTTGCTTTATGACCCCGCCGTACAGGGAAAAAGCTACCTGTGAGTCATCTTGTGCAAATATAAAGCTTAATGTAGTGCTTTGACTTAAAAGAAAAGGTGTAGGATGCAGACGTAGTAAAGATCAAACTTGAGGCAAGAAGATGTGGGGGTTGCATGGAACGGATGACAGATTTTACAAGGAAAATTCTATTTGTTCGGGCAAAGGGCCAAAAGGCTGAAAAGAGCAGGCTGTTAAAGCATGCATGGACAAGACACACAAGAACAGCTAACTTTCCCACAGAAACAGAACAAACTGGAGAGCTACACTTAACATACACACAACCTAATTCACTCCCACTGTTTCGCCCTTCGGTTAAGACATTATTTTGTCATAGACGGTTGACATGTTGATTTGGAGCGAAGTGACGTGATGTCACATGAGGTGTACCGATTAGAAGATGAATCAGCGACTGTGCCACTACTACAAAATAAAAAGGTCAAGATTTGTTTGGACGCATCCCTTTAGAGGTTTTCAGGAGAAGCCCAATTGGTAAGAGGCCCTGGGGGTTAGACCCAGGACACGTAGGAGGGTTTATATTTCTTGTCTGGACTGGGAACACCCTGAGGTTCCCCCAGAAGAGCTGGAAAGCCTTGCTAGGGAGAGGGACATCTGGAATACCTTGCTAAGCCAGCTGCAACCGCAACCCTGACCTGCAACCCTGAACCGGATAAGCGATAAGATGGATGGATGTTATGTAGTGTGCAGTAGACTTTACTGAATATAAATCTACACATCTTCGCACTGAATTGTTGACAATCTTTCCCGGGATTCCCTGACTCCAACTTTTAGCCGTCTGTCATGAGAAACCAATCCTCACCCATCATGGCAGCCGGCGTTGCGTCTCTGGTGGGGAGGTGGCTTTTCCAACTCAGGTCAGACCAAACGCTTCATGTCTGGCTGCTGGCCTGCGCTGGGACTGACTGAGGCCATACAGTGGGTACGGAAAGTATTCAGACCCCTTTAAATTTTTCACTCCGTTTCATTGCAGCCATTTGCTAAAATCAAAAAAGTTAATTTTATTTCTCATTAATGTACACTCAGCACCCCATCTTGACAGAAAAAAACAGAAATGTAGAAATTTTTGCAAATTTATTAAAAAAGAAAAACTGAAATATCACATGGTCATAAGTATTCAGACCCTTTGCTGTGACACTCATATTTAACTCACATGCTGTCCATTTCTTCTGATCCTCCTTGAGATTGTTCTACTCCTTCATTGGAGTCCAGCTGTGTTTAATTAAACTGATTGGACTTGATTAGGAAGGCACACACCTGTCTATATAAGACCTTACAGCTCACAGTGCATGTCAGATCAAATAAGAATCATGAGGTCGAAGGAACTGCCCAAGGAGCTCAGAGACAGAATTGTGGCAAGGCACAGATCTGGCCACGGTTACAAAATAATTTCTGCAGCACTCAAGGTTCCTAAGAGCACAGTGGCCTCCATAATCCTGAAATGGAAGAAGTTTGGGACGACCAGAACTCTTCCTAGACCTGGCCGTCCAGCCAAAGTGAGCAATCGTGGAAGAAGAGCCTTGGTGAGAGAGGTAAAGAAGAACCCAAAGATCACTGTGGCTGAGCTCCAGAGATGCAGTAGGGAGATGGGAGAAAGTTCCACAAAGTCAACTATCACTGCAGCCCTCCACCAGTCGGGGCTTTATGGCAGAGTGGCCCGACGGAAGCCTCTCCTCAGTGCAAGACATATGAAAGCCCGCATAGAGTTTGCCAAAAAACACATGAAGGACTCCCAGACTATGAGAAATAAGATTCTCTGGTCTGATGAGACCAAGATTGAACTTTTTGGCATTAATTCTAAGCGGTATGTGTGGAGAAAACCAGGCACTGCTCATCACCTGCCCAATACAATCCCAACAGTGAAACATGGTGGTGGCAGCATCATGCTATGGGGGTGTTTTTCAGCTGCAGGGACAGGACGACTGGTTGCAATTGAAGGAAAGATGAATGCGGCCAAGTACAGAGATATCCTGGAAGAAAACCTCTTCCAGAGTGCTCTGGACCTCAGACTGGGCCGAAGGTTCACCTTCCAACAAGACAATGACCCTAAGCACACAGCTAAAATAACAAAGGAGTGGCTTCGGAACAACTCTGTGACCATTCCTGCCTGGCCCAGCTAGAGCCCTGACCTCAACCCAATTGAGCATCTCTGGAGAGACCTGAAAATGGCTGTCCACCAACGTTCACCATCCAACCTGACGGAACTGGAGAGGATCTGCAAGGAAGAAAGGCAGAGGATCCCCAAATCCAGGTGTGAAAAACTTGTTGCATCATTCCCAAGAAGACTCATGGCTGTACTAGCTCAAAAGGGTGCTTCTACTCAATACTGAGCAAAGGGTCTGAATACATATGACTATGTGATATTTCAGTTTTTCTTTTTTAATAAATTTGCAGAAATTTCTACATTTGTTTTTTTCTGTCAAGATGGGGTGCTGAGTGTACATTAATGAGAAATAAAATGAACTTTTTTGATTTTAGCAAATGGCTGCAATCAAACAAAGAGTGAAAAATTTAAAGGGGTCTGAATACTTTCCGTACCCACTGTATGCTCCAGGATCAGACTCTCA